GTATATGTATATATATATATATATATATATACTGTATATGTTGAATGTTATTAATAAAAGCAAGCAAAACATGATTATAAACTGAAGTGACCTCTTTGAGACCTTTGATTTCTGTAGGTCTTTAATAAGGAAAAGCAGGATTGTTCACATTAGCCTGTAGATATGTGAATGAAAGGGGAAGGAGAGTTGAAGGAGAGTGGAGATTCCAGTACTACTGCAGTGCTCATGAATAAATATGAGTAGATATGAATATGCATTAGAACATTAAATCAGCAGGCAATGATGAGATTTGGCAATATATGAGTGTGTGTTTGCACCTTGAGTCAAACGGAGCGGGACATCAATGACGAGAAGAACAGTAAGCGTAAAGAAGATGCTGAAAGTCAAATGGGAAAGAAAAACAAACATTTGGCATGCTCACAGTTCTTCTCAACCGACGTGAGACAAAGTAGTTATTCAAATGACCATGAACAAAAGTCTTTTACATCTTATTTTAGTTTATACAGTGTTGCATAAAAAGCAGCAGGACATACAGAAGCTCTCGATGCCATCCTTAGTCTCTCCATCTTTCCCTTTAAAACACACACATATTCTCTGACACTCACAAAAACAGTCTTTGCCTAAATCACTCGCCAGTGTGTGTTGTTCAGCATATCCCAGGGTTGTGCTGTGCTATTGTGTTTGTAAATTGTTTAAATCTGTAGTGTGTGTTTGTGTTTTATGCGTTTATTGACTAGGTTGTTTGTGATATGTTGATGATTTGAGCATCTGTATCCATGTTTGTGTGTTTTCACAGTCATGAAGATTTCTGCATATACTGCATTGGTTTTAATACGTCTATATTTATATACTATCTGTTTTAAGACGCCATTTGTCAGTCTTAAACAGTTCTGTCTGCACCTGAGCGTTTGCGAACCACCTGCTCCCCATTGACCTGGTCCACCGCGAGGGTCTCCACTTCCGCCTGTTGTCGGGCTGCACCTCCACCTGCTGAGGGCGAACGGTGGATCCGATGCGCCACTCCTATATGCACGTTAGCACGGGCATGGGGTCCCTCCCGCGCTGGGCTATTCCTGGGACCAGGGGGCACTGGAGTGTGGGCGGGGCATAATGGTCCAGGGGGTGTGGCTGAAGAATAAATGGGCGGGATTACAGAGGGGCGTTCCCGCAGCACCAGCTGAGACTCTACGGGGGCCACGGGCTCTCTGGCTTGCAGGAATGGTGTGGGATCTGGCATGGCATCTATCGAATCCCTCAGTACCACCCTGCGGCCGTCTGCGGCGCCTAACCGGTACAGCTCCGTGTATTCAGAGTGCAGCGGCTGCGAAAGACTTTTGCGTATGCGCCTGCGAGGGGTCTCGGGTTGCCGGACGTCTTTGTCGTTTCCCAACGCAGCAGGAACGGGAGGAGGGGTGGGTTTCAAAGAGCTGACGGGGCTGACGGAGGGGCATATACTCACCGCGCCCCTGGCGAGAAGGCGTTTTTTGGTAGCGTGGAGCT